TTTTAGAATTTACTCGTGTCGATAACAGAGGTGATAACAAATGATAACGAAAGAACTGAACGTTTCAGTAAGATCATCTCTTGCTTTGTGTTTTTTCATCATATCAATATTAAAATCTCCCATAATCACATGTCTTTTTTTCGACTTGGCTTCGGTTAAGACCTTTTCTAGTTTGTGGACAGTATCATCGGCCCTCATTGACGGTTGACGATATAAAACAGTTACAGTCGTTGCCGTTTTATCATCTGCTACAACCTCTATTTTTAAAATGTCTCCTGCAGACACCTCCACTAACTGACTTGTGTTAAGCTCCGTTCGTATATATAAACCTACTCCACCTCCTCTGCTCAGCCGAGGGCTCGAGAAAAACTTGTAAGCTAGCAAAATGAACAACTCGGCTGAATCATTAGGGTTCAGCCAAGTTTCAGTGACAGCAATAACAGCTGGGGCTATTGCTAGTTGCTTTAGACTTATTTTAATGTCTCACGTTAACATTTAGTAACGAAACAGCCTCAAGAACTTGGGTTAATGACGATGGGGATATAAAATGAAATAAAATAAAAAATGAGATTGAATAAGAGTCCCTACTGAGGCTTTCTTGTCTTAAATAGTTAACCACTGTCTTCTACAGTAAACACACTTGAAGTATTCCTAACATTAGAATGAAGCTCAGTTTGAGAAAATTGTTTTGCTAAGTTATCAACATACTGCACAATTTTTTCAGGTTCCTTTCTGTGCTTTTTTGCTTTTAATCAAGTATTTGCTGATCCGACCCGCGACTTGGCGGAGACACTCGTTTTGGCGTTGTCATGTTCACATTTAGCCTCATAGTTGCTTCTTCATTTCCTAATTGAAAAATTGATTTTCTCTTCTTTGCCAAAGTTTGCGCTTTTTTGGAGAAGCAAGCAACGTTTCCGCATCAACAGAGTCTGCAACATTATGAGTGAACACCTTCTCGTTCTCACGCTTGATAAAGACTTGCGGTGCGCAATTATTCGTTGTTGTTTTCAAATTAAGGCCTTTCACGTAGTCGAGTAAATTCGAATCTCTCTTTGTCAGTCTCTCAAAAAGGTATACAGGTTTTTTATTGATCTGATTGAGATAATTTCGTAAAAAATGCTTCCTTGCCCAGATACGGTCTTTCACATCAAAATAGACAAATTTCAAAATAATGGCTGGGGGGTTTTGATGTCGCGAATTGGGCCTAGAGGGTGACACGCTACCTTGGAATCACGAGGCACATAGATGTCAATTGCTTCACGAAAGAATGCGATTACATCTTCTACATAATCTGAGCCATGTCGCAGAGGTAAGTTGTTTATAATGATACAATCTATTGAGGAAGAGCGCTCCAGATCATTTACTTTTTTCTTCAGAAAAATTAATTCATTTTTCGTGTTTGCAATGGTGCCGCTTTGAGTTTCAACATGGGATAAAAGATCTTGCAGAATTGATTTCAAAGATGGATCAATATCATTCGACGGTTGGTTGATATTTTCTTTGATAATGTTCAACATCATGACAGCTACCAGTAAGGTGTAAGAGTTATCTCAGTGTACAGTCCAAATCTGAAACTTTTTAATAAGTTTATCACAACAATTAGGCTAAATTTTAGTTTTTGTTCTGGCTGAGAAAGTTTATTTGACTTGAAAGTTTTAGGCTAATTTTACGTCTGCTTACTCTTCTTATATTGTGGCGTTGGAAGGGTGGCAAAAATTATCCTTATGCCTATATGCTTGCTGCAAATGAAACTTAAAAATAACTTTTCGAGACATTATGAAAACTTGGGTAAGCCTAATTTTCGCTATTTTCCGAACTGCTTTCACATTTGATTAAAATGTGCAATTCCTGCAAAAAGCAAATTCTGACATATGTTCATATTAAATGGTTCATATGGTAAAGTTGTTCATATGACGCTCTAATGATGATTTTTTATTGCGATAGTTTTTGATGAAATTGTTTTGATTCGAACTTTTATCAGAGTTGTGATTTTCGTTTATTTCAACGGTGCAACTTCCCATTTTCAGGTGCCTGTTTTTGTACTATTACAGCGTGGTAGCTAAAACTTGGATGACGTTGTTCTTTTTTATTGATATCTTATTGAGAAAAACCTTATATTCGTTACAGTTTTAAGTGCTTACCTTCCTATAAACTATTCTTCCACGTCAACTAAATACTAAACAAGACTGCTCGCATCCTTAAGCGGGTGTCATTTTTTATTACATCTGTTGGTTATATTTTTGTTTTTCTTCATTTAACTTTGTTCCTCATTTGAATTATTTGTTCAAAATAACTCAATTGGGCTGATTTCTCAAATTTCAAGTTTTCAAACGAGTTGCTGAATTAATGTTTCGAATGTTTTAGTTCAAGAGTTTCGTGAAATTTGATTTGTTTTTCATTTTTTCTTAATATCAGGAATTCTTTTAATGAGTGAAAGCTTTTAAAACCACAATGTTTTCAGTGAATTTTTCCTAAAAAATGATGCTGTTTTGGAAATTTGGATCACGAGTTTATGAGCAATACATCAATATTTATATGATTTCGCCAATCGTTAGCAGAAGGAAGTGAATGGAGCTTTATGATGTCTCAAATATCCCACATGAACAAAATTTATATTTTTCCATTTTTCGCCAATTTGAATGAACTAAATGACAGTCCGTTTGATATGTTTCCTAATGTTTGAAAAACTATGTCAAGAAGTTGTTTGAATTTATCGATTTTTTTGGAAATTTATGCTGATTCTTTTTTCAAATTCAGCATGTAAGTTCGTCTCACAAGTTATGCGAAGCTACGCTTTGCCATTTTACGCCTCTTAAAAACTGCATAATCTCTGCGGGAAAAAATATCGCATCACTTTATCTGCAAAAAAGCTGTCGTCAGATTATTCATATCAATTGAGCAAATTTTCTCTCTAGCCCAACCCCCCCCCCCTCCCCCTACCTCTTCGGCCTCCCATTCTTGCGTGATGGGGGGCAGAGAAAGAGCTCAATAGGTATTTGAGACATGTTTATAGCGACTTGAAAATAGTTTGAATGCTACGAAATGATAAACCAGAACCTCCAAAGAATGTGGAACGCCAAAATTTACAATATCAAAGCTCTAAAATTATATTCAGAGTGAAAAAAGAATCAATAAAACTGAGGCACATAAAGCGGCTTTTTTCTGTCCTTAAGTGTGCATTACTAAGATGCTGCGAAGAACAGTTTTTGGTATTCAGATACAAGACTAGAGCACTTATCGTAGTAACTCGTTTTCCTCGATGAGGCATAGGTCGCCCAAACAAAAATTTACAAAAAAAATTCTTATATTTGAGTTTTTCTTTTTCAAAATTTTTCTCTATACTCTATTCTTTATAAAATGAACTTCAGATTATTCATTTTTGCTTGGTGGATTTAGCTCAATTGGTCATTAAGGGGAGGGGGAGGGTGATCCAATTATTCTATGCTATTGATCATCATTGAGCTACTCATAGTAAAAAGATTTCAGATTTCCATTCACTGTTCATCAAAATACGTTGAAACAAACCGAGAACCGTGTGCAATTATGTGAAATGATGGCTCTTTTATGCCGTTGAAGTGTCACGGAACGGCGAGATTCGCAATCAAAATTATTTCAGAAGGTTGTTAACTAGTATTTTATATATACAAAAACATGCGGATCAGAAAAAATGGTGCGTAGATAATTAAGTTCATCTCTGCTACTAACATTAATATCATTGCTAAGGAACTACCTGCTTACAATTAGAAATTTCTCGACATTTGCTTTCGAAGTCCTACACAGAACATTGCGACTCGAAAATGGTGTTATTGATGATCAAAATCAAGTGATCAACCCAAATAAAGAGAACAAATCACGAAATAGGAAAACAAATCCACCCGCTGTAAACAAGCTAGTATTTTTGACAGTGTGGTAATATTTGCACCTATCTTAATTTGGTCGTTTTGTTTTCGTTTCTGCATATATCAGTTTGTAGTTTTTGTCTCAGTTGTAGCTTGCTGGTTTTCGATTTGAGATTATGAACCGATTTTCAATTCTAGTTGTTGCTCTAGCTCTTGTCGCTAAAACGCAGAGGTTGTTCGGTCTAGAGTCTATAAAAACGTTCGCTTATTTTTGCTCGTTACAAGTTTTTCTGTCAAAAGGTGCAAAACCCTGCAATCAGGGCGGATCTAAGATTTTCTTGAGGAGGGAGGTAGGGTGATTCTCAAAATAGGCCGTTTTTGGACATTCTTTTGTATAAGTTTTTGGGTCGGTCGGCCAAAAATGGATTTCTTAAAAAGTACCAAAGGGGGAACCCTTTGGGTCGGCAGGGGATCGAATCCTCAAGGAGGCGTGAGGGCGACCATCCCCCCCCCCCGTGAAGGCGTTTATCCCCCCCCCCCTAAACCCACCCCTAATAAGATGCTGTCAAAAAAGATTTTTCCCAACAAAATGGTTCTGCAATAGTTTTGCTCTAGTTTATAGGGAAAAAATGTTCTAGGAAACTAGCTGAACAACCTATTTTTCACAGTGGGCCGATCGAAGAACAGGTTTGTGAACCTTATTTCATTCAAAATTCAAATCCTCATTTATTAACTCAAAGCCGAATACAAATAGAGTGCAGGAGTACATTGTATTTTTTTAGTTTCTTATTAGCAAATTAGAGTTTCTAGAGATTCAGGATTTTAGGTTTTTTCAAGTTATTTTTTGAAATTTTTTGGCGTTTGTCATTAATTAAACTTCATACAAAAAAGGTTCATTTTTGCCCATCAAAAAGCTTAATTAATTATGACAACTGCAGAAAAAAAATTGGCGCGAGAGCCACAAATAGGTTATTATGTATTTATTAAGGACACATGGATGGGCCAATTGGAAAAGAAAACAATTTAAGAGAGGGGAAAGATTATCTCTATCTATTCTACCACTCATTTCCCCTAAACTCGCATATGACTGAGTTTCAACTTAATCGTAAAACTTCAGCTAAGAATCGTATTTTATTCAACTAGTGTTTCTGCTGTTTCTAGAACAACGACAGCTCCTCCAAACTTTACCGGGTGGTGGGCAGTTCCTACTCCGACTGCGGGGCCAGTGGGGACTCCATCCACATCTCAGGAATATCTGTCTCTCCCGACACCATCTCCATTCCTGGAACTATAGTTATCACTGCCTCAATTACGAACACCGCCAACATATCAGCTCCCATCAAAGGCCAGTTAAGTTCTAGTAGTAGTGAAAATTAGTAGTTTTCAGGAAGCTGCGATCATTATTTCATCTGCACATCATAACACGTCAGCTTGCGTCTAAATTGGCTTTCGCACAAGAGCGGGGTCTTTGATTGTCTCAAAATTTGTTTGAATTTTGAAAAAATAGGCCATCCAAGCGTTTAGGTGAACCATAATTACAAGTGAGGACCCTTCGGGTGATGAGTATATAAATGGGAGGGGGTGTGGGAGGATATTCTGTTATATCTCCACACCCTACTGATTGATCATCTTGCTCGCAGAAACTAGTTAGTTTCAGCGAGAACTGTTATTAGTTTCTTGATGCAAATAGAACCAATAGAAACATTTTCTGTCAGAACTAGAAGCCGATTTAGGATTTTCTCGAGAGAAACAAAGTTTTAGCGGACCTTTTTTCAACTTGATTTATGCGCTGAAAGCAAGTTTTGAAATAAAAGGCAGGTCAACAATGCTGTTTTTGGGCACTTTTTATAAAATTTTTGACCAAAAATTTGCTCCCCTTCAAAATTAGTAAATGTTATCCCCAAAGGCGCCTTTAGAACTCGTCGAAAATGGATATCATGAAGTAATACCAAAGGGGGACCCTTTGGTTGGTGAGGGGGTCGAATTACTGAGGGAAAAGGCGTCCAACGGATCTACTTAACAATATCGACCCCTTTCAAGAAAGGGAGATTGTTAAGTAGACAAAATGGTGGATTTTTCGACCAATCAGAATGCAGCAAAATTAGAATTCTCAATAGAAAACAGTGCTAATTTACTGTATTTATTTATAAGGGTGGATATTCTTAAGTTGGTACCATGGGGGGGGGGGGGGTGGGGAAGATTGTTAAGTAGATCCCGTCCAAATCCCCTCCTTCCTCCCTAAATCCGCCCGTGGTCTGATTGATAACTCCTTAAGGGTGACAATACCTCCTTTTATAAAAACATTGAACTGTTTTTCCATTTGACATCTAAAACACGTATATTATAAGACACATGGGACACTAGTTAAACAATAAATTGTTTTCAGGCTTTAAAAAATTTTTTGATAGTTGGACAAAGAGCATCTGCAATCATCCAAGATCTTAATGTGACTTTATAGTCTCTTTATTTTCAGACTAATTAACGTTACGGTCTCTTTATTTTCAGCTGATGTCTCTGTCAAAGTCAAGGTCAGCATCATCACCATCGATCTCTGTGCCGAGGGACTGATCAACTGCTCATTCGCCGATGTGTGTGCGGATGCATCTGCCACCGGAATCAGCCTCTGCCCAGTGCCCGCTGGAACTATCTCTGTGAACCAGCTCTCCATCCCCATCCCGGCTATCCCTTCAGTTCCTGTGGATAAAGTGACTGTAGAAGCCAAAGCAGTTCTCTCCCAAAATGGGGCTGAGCTCGGATGCGGAGAAGCGACTGTGAAAGCCGATTTCAATCAATTAGAACTAAATCATTTCTAGCTATTATTAGAACTGAATCAAAAAGTTAATTTTTAACAATTTTTACTCATATCGATATATACTATCACGAGTTAAATAATTCTTGTTTCAGTATTTTTCTAAGAACCTAGAAATTTTGCGGAGTTTCTTTTTAATTGTGGAGACCAAATTGCAATCCGAGAAAAAAACAGGCATTTTTTTGACAGACGCTCGCCTTCAAAATTGTATATAATGGCGCCAAAGGCCCCTTAAGAAAAATTTTTGAGTGTTCCGAAATTTTTGTCCGCCCCTGATATCAACTCATTGGATCAATTATACACACTATTTTAAAAGAAGGGAAACGAGACTTTGTAAGCCTTAACAAAATAGGAAGAGGGCGTAATGATTGTGAAAACAAACAATTAGATTACACCTGAAATATCAAACTTGCGGTTTTCGCAATGATGAGAGCTGATCTGATAATGCTATAGATAAAACCATACTCGGCTGATTACTTGAACTGATTTCATAGTTTTACGGTGCACAGATGGCGTCAGCCTAACATATCGGACTTGTTCGGCAGATGCAGGCTGTTTGAATCATGGCCGGACGTTTTCAGAAATTAATTTCGCACGTTTTTCAAGATTTTGTCTTATCACTGAGCGGCCTAAACTGTGTTTGGAAATAAGCTTTTTTTATATAGCCGCAGCTTAATCCGGTCAAAATTTTTGTATAGTTTTAAACAATTATTTGCGGAAACCCAGATTTTGGTTGATCAACTGTTTTTATCTGAATCTGTCTTCCCACTGGATTTTTTGAAATTGATTACTGGAAGCTGCTCTGAAAAGTGTGTGCTTGCTTGCAAATATTTTTTGTGATGTTTCTTCTTTGTTTAATTCATCTTTTTTGCGTTTTTGTTCCGACCATTCAAACTGGGGAGGAACTTTGTATTCGGGTGTGTTAAGTTTTTTTTTGTTTTCCACACAAAGTCAGGTACCATAAATAATCAGCGGACTGGGTTGAGTGATACATCAAATTAAAGCTCTTACAATCGTGATTCGAACCACATTAATAATGTTCAAAAGATTTTTACCCATGTGGGTAAAAACCGGTTTGAAGTTTTTGATTTTTTGTTTTATTTCGAGCGAATGAAGCGAGCGAGCAATCTTATTTTAACTGCTTAAACAAAATCTTACAAGAGCTTAATGTAAAACGTCAAAGCCTAATTTTACTTGAGTAACGTTAGTTTACTCAAAGTATTTAAGCGCCGTTTTGGAATCACAATTTTCAAAAATTCAAAATACTGCAAAACTTCAAACAATTTTTTTTTGATTTTTTTCGTTTTTTAAAAACTTTTAAAAAATTGTTTTTTAATTTGATTACTTTACTATGACTGCCGAATATACCTGATCTCCAATTTTTTGATCAGGTCCTTCTACACACCACACCGAGAAAACGACTTTAATTCGAAAAATTTTTGTATTTTTTGAAAGACAATGGTTTTTTTATGGTTCAAAATTTAATTTACATTTCATTCCAAGCAAGGTTTCAGTAGAATTGATTGTCAGTAGATTGTGTCATCAGAATCAGTAGAATTAAACTGATAATATTTGCTTCCTGGTTCATAAAAATCGGCCCCATTCATATTATAAACATCAAGTTCCAAGGCGGGCTGTACTTCAGTTTCATTGCAGTCATCTTCATATCCATATTCTGTAGTGGTGACTTCACATGAGAATAAACTACAACAGCTAAAAGTTCTGCTAAAAGAAACAGCCATGCAATTTAACTGGTGTCTTATGAGCGCGCTTCATGAATTCTTTGCTCTTCGCAGTGATGCCTCGGTCTCCGATATGATGAACGAGATCCACGCATACACATGATCGAAGATCTGAGAAGCGCAAATCCAATACGACATCGAATCCACCAAAGCACTTGACTATACGAAGTTGTTTTTTTCTCTGATCATCGAAGCAAGTCTTTTGTAAAACGTAGTAGCAAGTTTGCCCATGCCTCCCGTGCACGAAAGAACAAGAGGTGTGAATGAACTATATTCAACTTCTCTGATACGTTGCTCATAGCATCTATTTTTTCCCACTTCGTGCTTCCTGTACACACTTAGCAGAGTACCAGACTTTGATTTGGTACAAGGATTGAATACTCTTACATCAATGAATGCCTTCTCAAATCTGCCTCCCCAGACTTCATTAGCTGAAATATCAAGCTTATCTTCATCGCCACTAATTGATGTTCTCAAAGCCAAAAGCTCTCCAGATAACCGCTGCAAATGTGGTTCGACTTCAATATTTGAGCAAACTTCAGTCAACTTTTCCGCGTTTATGTCTCTCACTTCTTTATCCCGAATAGCTGGGAAGCCTCCAGCAGGACAAGACAAGCAGTGCTCAACCGAAAACGTTTTTCCACAAACACAATGAGAAGAGACATCTTTCAGCGGCCAATTATATCTCAAATACAATGCATCCCTAAACGCTGCTTTACTCAGGCAAAAACCATGTTCTTCTAACGGCAACAAGAGGTTTACAGAGTCTCTCGGAGTCTTTGAATTTCTGAGCGGCGTCTGTTTCTGGATTGATAATGTTCAAACCAATAAGTTTTGCCGGAAGCTTGAACACAGATCTTTCAATATCTTCTGGTGAAACTCCACCAGTCAGCCTTGGCAAAAACTGCGTTCTGATTTTGCTTTCGAGTTAGAGAGGTTACCTTTAATATCACCTTGGCTACAATCGATTACTCTCATCTTGTATTTCCACTTTGGAATGAAATAAACACTGCAAAATCACAGTGTGGCTGTGTCTCAGCGATGTGAGATAAACTCTTAAACTCACCTATCCATCCATCTGACGTTTTGAGAACATTTTGTTCAATGATTTTTCGCTACCAATCGGGTATCCCAAATATTTGTGTCCCTCTGCTAAAATTGTTATACCACTTCCATAGAAAAACCGCTCTGCAAAGTTCGAGTGTTCGCGTTTAACAATAAGCATAGTCTTGGAAGCATTCGGTAAATATCCATATTTCGGTCCGAGTTATTTCAATGCTTCCCACCATGATTTCAGTTGTTCAAGTTTTCCACCTGCAGCTGAGTCATCTGCATACCAAAATTGTTTCACATGGCCACGGAGTCATTTAATGAGAGGTAACATAGCTATAACATACATTGGCATACCTTCAGGCCGGCCCTGAGAAGTACCTTCATGCGACATACCTTCTTTCCTCGTCTCTAAACAAGTTTGCAGGCTTTCTGTAAAGATTTGGGTAAAACGTAGCCATAGCTGGGCACTCAACATACATGTTCAGCAAAGCAAGCTGTCTGTTGAGCTCATTAAAAACATTGCTAGCATCAACCAACAGCATTCCTTCAGTTTTCGACTCATTAAAAACACGTGAGCGCTGAAGCAGCTGCCTTGCAAGACGCTCGTTGGCAAGCACATAGTTTGTACGTACCAGCTGCAATGAGTAGCTCAGACGAGATGGTACGAAGTATGCTCTTGGAATATGTTCTGCGTGCAATTTCTCCTGTTAAATGGTCTGACACCTAGATTTTTGTCCAAACCAATGAGACGAAAAGCGTTTAATGCTTGCGCTCTCTGAGGATCTGTTACCGCAGTAGCTAGTTGACGAGATTTCATGGACAATGCTTCACTTAAAGAGTTAGATTTTTCACCAAATGCCGTGCATAAACGTCTCCAATGCAAAGCATCGGCGCCAGAAGGTCCTGCTGATCCAAATGTGTTCAGAACACACTGGCGAACACAATCAAAGTCTGCACTATCAAAGAAAAAAGGATGGAAAGCTGTGTCTGATAATTCTTGCGTCATTGGTGAGACTGCTGATTTAGAGAATTTACGGGATGCCGGGTGTTTATCTTTCAAAGCTTCGCAAACAAATAGTTTCACGGTGTACTCGCATCCATTTTTGTCATTTTTTTTCTCATCTGTCAAATCGTCTAATTTCAGAACCTCAGCTTTCCCTTCTGAGCAGTCGCATGGCACTTGTAATTTTTTCTTTCATCATGAGCTTAGCGAATGAGCGAGCAAGATTCTCTTCAGGATCTTTGTAGCTCATTAGACGTAATTTTCTTTGAACAGCCGTACCTTCTTTTAAAAACAGTTCCTCCAAATCACCACTCTTCTAAAGTTTTTTTCTGCGTTTGAGATGTAGAATATGCTCTTTGACTTAGCTCTTTCTGGAAGTCTTCTGAAAAAGTAGTGCTGGCATGAGCATTGCTGACTTTATAGCAATGAGTTCCATAATAGAATTGCCAGCAAATGCAAAAAACCAGTCTGCCAATTCTTCAACGAACCATTTTCCTTCAGCACCCGATGGAACTTGAAACAAATTTGGTTTTCACTGCACCACTTTCTCATACACTTCATCGATGACTTCACACATTTCGACAGGATTTATTCCATGCCACATACAGTCAGCATGTGAGTTCAAGGGTGTCTAATCTGGCAATTTACGACAAGGTGACATATCTGGAGCATCTGACAAAGACAAATTTACCGTATTTTGAGTTAAACCAATGTGTATTTTATGATGCTCGAAGTCAAGAAGCTCAGTGGAGTGGTTCTTTTATTGTGGATAATGTGCTGAAGAGTCTGTTATTATCAAATTTTCCATTGTTGTGTCACCAGTCTGCTCATGTTGAGAGTCGACATCATTGAGCTCTCCTGTACCATCAATCTCATCAGTGAATCCATAGTAGGTCGGCAGACGTGCAAGTCTCCTTCTTCTCCTCATCACGTGACGGCAATTTCAATTACAGACCGAAGCTCAACTTACTGTAGACCTTCTACTAGCACAACCAAAAAATGATAAACAACATACGCTCAACAAATTATAACCATAACAATCACCATTGTACTGAATTTCCTTCTAAAACCTCACTCAGTTTCGTTGTTTATCAATTAGCCTCCAAAAAAAATCAAGGGTTGCTGTTTGCTCTTGCAGTTTGTTCCTCCTAAACCACTCTAACTGCGGTGATTAAAATTCAATCTTAGCTTTTTCTAATTTTTTTTAAGACTATGGTCGGAACATTCTGTGCCAATTGGATAGTAACTGTCTATCTTTGTTTAAAAATTGTTTTATTGGTGCTTGTTTTTTTTGTA